AACTCTCACACACACACACACACACACACACACACACACACACACACACACACACACACACACACACACACACACACACACACACACATACACATAATAAATAATAATATAATGATCGAATTGTGCATGTAGAGTGGTATTGGTACAACAGACGTGACGTACGAAAAATAAACTTAACGTTGAGGGGGCAAGCCGATTTCGCGCGCCACGGTCGGTTGTCACCCAAAGTGCCGACGACGGCTGCAATTAGAGGCAGTTTACGACAACTGCAACAGTGGCACATTCCCAGCGCGCAACAATCGACAATTATTCGCGTTATTACTGTTTTTGCGTTCGTGCCGTCCGTGTGATAGTAACAATTATTGCTTCATTTTACCGATCGAATTTCGGCCACCCGTGCAATATCGTCGTATCGTCGTCGCAATCGCTAATAATAATAATAGTTCACTGCGCCGAATTAAACATTTGTTTTCGGCAGCGACGGTGTTCTGCGTCACTTACTTACTCGCCTTCTTACTACACCTCGTGCCTGGTTATATAGTGAGATTTTTAAACTTCGTTCGCGTACGACACGTGACCAACATGACCGCGTCGGTGGTGACGCGTGACGAAGTTCCGGGCGAAAATTTGCAGCAAACCGCGGTCGTGCCCCGTCCCTCGTCGGCGGTCGTCGTGAGAAGCGCGTACAAGCAGTTTGGTCAGACGGCCATACTCAAAGACTTGAACCTGACCATTCCGACAGGGAAAATGTAAGTACCTATACCTAGGAGGGATGGCTGTATACCGTGGTATGCCGCCTTGTATCGATAATCTAGAATTTCGCGGTTACGTCTTAAATACCACGCTGGTGCCTAACCTAGGTACAGTTGTTTGAACGATATACCGTAGTAGTGCGTAATACCGAAATACCTAACACCGAATACCCATATTAGATTAGGCTAGGATGCGTAGGCGCCATCGATGGTTTTTTCAGTATACACCGATTCTTAAACCGCAATATCGGTATCCGATTTTAATACCGTCAACCTGCAATATGTAGTATACTTTTCCATATTCACGCGATGATCGACACGATAGAGGGAAGTATGACAGACGAAACGATTATATGTTGAAAGCACGCTTTTTCTGTATAAGAACGGATATAATTGGATATATTTATCCTTTATTTAAGTGTTATCATAATTACCTAGTCAGTAAATTTTTTTTACCAACTCTACAGCTAGAATATTCAAACAAAAATGTCAAGATTTAATAACTCAGTGGATACAAACGTGTAATATATAAATACTTAAACCAACGCACTTATTGTATTTACAACTATATGCACTCACTAATACCTAATCATGCAATTTTTTTTAAATTAAAATAAAATGTCTCAGCATATTTTATGCTATTACAAGTTTGCTTAATATGTTCTAATTACAAATTATAAATTACAATCAGTTTGTGATTTTGTGACAATGATGTTTTCGTGTTGATATATTATGTTAATAATTAGTTTAAGGTTGTTCTTCGAATTAACTTGAGGTAAACGTAGTTTTAAACGCTGATTTTTCATTTAGTTTTTCAGGTTGTAGTGCCGTGTGCCAATCGTGCAATAACAACGAACATAGCATAGGAAGTTAATTGAAAGTTGCCCAATCACTTTAGCTATATGTTCAATTATCCAGCAAATGAGTGATACAAAAAAAATAATTAATTAACTTTTCACCAACTTAATTATCTTATATATCTTAACAACTTAACGTTGACTTAATAAACCAACTCTTACTCTTGATTATTTTGTAATTAATTATTTTATTTTATTTTTTTTTGGTATAGGAGTAATCTTATTCAAAATCCAAACAAGTATTTTTTCAGAATATCCTTAAAAATGTATTTACTAATTGGATGACCTTCCCACCTTAAGCACATATATAGGTACGAATAGAGATTTATACGCATAAATACTTATAATACATAAATGGATATATCAACATGCTGTTATCATATTATCTTCTATATACATAATAACTGACTAATTTATCAAGGCAAGATCCCAAAAGTATGTGCATTATACATGTAATTTATGCATATTGCTATTTATAACCATAAATAAAAATAAATATTGGTTCAATACAATTAAATGGATAATAAAAGGGTTAACCTAATAATTATTAAATTAATTCCTGATTGAGTACCTACCTAATTTTTATTAATTTTAAGAAGGAGGTTAGCTTAAAAATAACTTTGGCTACCACTTCAAATATGAGTGACAATATTTTATTGGGCAATTACGTTGTTATACTCACGGTAAAATTTACATTTATTAATTATATTACACCTATAAGTTATAATATACACTAAAATAAAATCCTAGGCTCGAAATTGATACGCACCTCTTGTCATCTTAATTTTTCTCCATAAGGTTAATTTGTCGATAAGAAGATAATTTCACACAGTTTTAAAAATCAGCTACAGATATTTCAGAAGCTGTAATAATAGCAACAGTTTCTTCATTTCTTGGTTTACCCTTGTTTTACTGTTCTAATAGCATTATGATTATAAGATTGAGTATTTAGTTTTGTTCTACGTATATTATGTTAATATTAAATTAGTCAACATTTTGAAAAAATTCTTAAAGATAAATTACATATTTATTTTTAATCATAAATATATATTTTTTACGTATGTAGGTGTGTATCTACTATTATATTATTTCGGTGTCCTAACCCCGCAGTCTTATTTAATAATAAAGTATAATTGATTACAGAGACACCGAAAGTTGGTTTTGTTCATGACAAAATATGTCATGTCTATAAGTAAATTAATAGTTGATTTTTTTTATTTGTTAGTAATCGCGGATACATGGGTGTGTGTTTAAGATTTAAAAATAATTATGTCGAAAGTGTTTTAAAATACATCAGTGGCTCTAATCAATTTGCTGTTCCAATATCTGGGCTGATCTTTCTAGGCCTTGCACTTGCAGTGCACTGCACCACTACCACTGTCTACTGTACGCAAACTTTAAAAGCAATCAATGATATTAAATTTATTATAATAAATTATTAGATACAAATACATTTGCCTAATATATTTATTATTTTAATAATTTATAAACATACCTACTTAATGTTGATGTTGAATAAACTAGTAAAAAGATCAAGAAATATTGTAATGAAACACGAACAAAAAATAAGTTTAGTGGTTAATTACGAAATTATGATCAAATGAAGGTGGTTATCATTAATATCGCCATTTCACGGTATTATAACTATACTAATAATAATATATAGAACTATAAGTTTAAAAAATGTTAACAGGAGCATCGAAAAATTGGAAAACTGCAGTCTGCAAATGTACCTATGAATCTCTTACTCTTTCTTCGGAACTGCATGTGTTAATAATAGTTGATAATTAGGGATCATTATCACTAACACATTATTAAAATAAAATGTATAAAACATTTTTTCTAAACATATACTTAGGTCCTTAGTATAACAGTATTTATTTTATAATATAACCAATAATACATAATCTTATGTTATTCCTACTTATTATTTTTATTGCCAACGCTAACTGGTTCTAATTAGAATACAAATATTATTATTAAACGATTAGGCAACAACTTTACTTCCGTAGTCAGTAGGTATATAATATTTTATTTATAACAGTAAAAACATATTTTTCACATTAAACAAATTGTTATTCATCTAATCATGACTGATTATTGGTATATACCAGGCGCGTAGCCAGGGGGGTGTTACAGGTGTAATAACACCCCCCCCCCC